TGGACACATAGAACATGAAGGGTTGGAAATGGTGAAGAAAAAGCATGCCAGAACACGCAGGGAGGTACACTCATCTACGTCATGTGTTGGGGTGCTGTACCACATCTTTCTCCGTGGGTGCTGGATGACCATGTCCCAGCACAGACTGAGACTAATAGAAAATCTGGCCCTGGGTGCTTTTATAAAAGATCAAATCCTGATGGATTTTGGACTTTCCCCCTCTAGTTGTGTTTTTCAGTCTTCAATGAATTCTGCCATGTAGGTGAATGTAACAAGTAAAGAAAAAAAAAATTGTTTCCTATAGGACCTGTTCTCACACCTATCCATAGTGTTGCCGTACATTCGAAAAGCTCCGGCTTGCTGCTGAATGCATTTTGCTCTTTAAGTCAACGCAGTTCTTTCAAAAATTCAATGCAGAGTTGAAACGCGCTAGTGTACACAACATAGTTTACCTTGTTCCATGTGTTCTAGCATGACTGTACCATTACCCGAATTTTCACCCAGACTTAATGGAACTTCTACTGAAAATGTAATTTGCCTGGCTATCATGCTAATCCACTGGTTTCAAAACATTTGTGCCATTGACCTGGATCAGGCATGCAGACTGAGAAAGTTACAGTCAAAAGTTTTTATCTGCAATCTTTATCATTGTTAATGACTCCAAGCCAGAGGGGCAGAATGACAGCCAGGTATGTAGCATCTGAGCAATGAAAAGTCGTCAATGGCAGTGCCTTGTCTTTTCAGGAAAGGTTTCCTTTAGGGCCAGTTCACACTACATACGTTTCGGTGTACTTTTTTTTTTCTGCATCCAAAACGCACAGAAAGTAGGTTATATGGTTGTCAACGTCTAGTTCACATCAGTGCTTGCAGTTCTAGTGCGTTCCGGTTGCAGAAAAAAAACAGAACAGGCTGCATTTTTCCTGCACAGAAATGTACTGGAGCGCAGTAAAACACACTAGAATGCATGTGTCCCTATTTAAATTGGAGACTGAGGGGAAAAATGAACTGGAAAGCATCAAAAACGCATGAACGTGCAAAAAAATGCACCAAAAACACACATGCAGAGACACATCTGAACTGTGTTTTCTATAGTCTAATCTGACCCTAAAAGCTGAACTCCAGGCAGCTATAAAAGACACACATTAAGACATTCTTAGATGTGTTTTTTTTTAATTTTAAGCACATGAATTTCACTTGGTATCAACTTCTTCAGTCCCTGGAGTGTGAAAGGAAGCAGTACAAGAAGCCAATCAGTTGATGTACTAATAAGAAGCTTGTTGATAGGAGGAGAGAACAGAGGGCCAGAGATGAGCTCATCACTATGCTGCGTCTCCTTTCATTTTCTAGTCACAGGCTGAGGCTTGTCCAGGATGACCTGGGCTCAGAAGAAGTAGGTAGAATGATGCTGGCCATCAGACTGAGGACTTTTAGGGCCCATTCACACCAGGAACAGCGTGTTTACTACATGTTTTTGCATGCACAGTGACGTACATTTGATGCATAGTTTTTAGACACATTTGCATCCTTTCCAGTGCATTTTTCCTAAACTTGCATTGCCTTTGAGGTCACTTCAAACTTTCTTCTTTTGGGCTTTTATCTGCAATGCATTGCCGTGTATTTTTGTGAACTATTCCCATCAGAGAACATTGATTTTGGACTGTCTGTGTGATTCTGAGTGCAGTCAGAAACGCAATCCACTGCATCCAGTGTGAATGGGCCCTTAGAAGCAGAAAAAAGTACTGCAAGGCAAATCCATGGATTGAAGGTGAATATTGCAGCAATCATTGGTTATTTCATCTTTAACTATACCCCTACAGCCCTATAGCAGATATACTACTACAGGGTGGCAGGGGTGCGCAAAATCACGTGTGTGTGTGTATGTGATTTTGTATTTCCTGGTAGGGGGCGCGTGCCCTACTCGTACTGCCATTCGCAGGCGCTGCTGTCAATCACTGGGTCCCAACCAATGATTACCCAGCAGCGCCGTTTGATTATCAAGCATCTCAGACGTGTAGGATGACTGCTTTATTTACAAACAGTCCTCCTCCCTGTCTGCTCAGACACAATGCTCTGGATGGCTGTGCACAGCGCAGCACTCTGGAGCAGTGTGATTACAGTATAGCGCACACACACCGCCCCACAGCAAAACACTCCTAGCAAACAGTTAACCCTTTGCTCGCCTCGTGTTACCCCTTTCTGCCCAGTGCCATTAGTACAAGGTCAATGGTTTTTTTTTTTTTTTTTTTTCCAAGCACTGATTACTGTATTGGTGTCACTGGGGATGTCAGTTCCCCCCCCAGTGTCAGAATGTCCACCGCAGTCCCGTTATAAGTTGCTGATCACTGCTATTACTAGTTAAAGAAATATATCCTATACCACCATTTGTATAACTTTCACGTAAACCAATTAATTTACACGTATTGGGATTTTTTTTATTAGCAAAGATGTAGCAGAATACATTTTGGCCTAAATTTATGGTGAAATTTGATTTTTTTTTTTTTTTTTCTCCAAATTATCGTTTTGGTTTTTTTTTATAGCGCAAAAAATAATAAACACACAGGCGATCAAATACTACTGAAAGAAAGCTTCATTTGTTGGAAAAAAAAAAAGGACGGAAATTTCATTTGGGTGCAGCGTTGCATGACCGTGCAATTGTCAGTTAAAAGTAACGCAGCGCCGTAACGCGAAAAATGGCCTGGTCAGGAAGGGGGGTAAATCCTCTGGAGGGCAAGTGGTTAATGGGCTATTTTATTTTAATTTTTTTTGTGGATTTCTTATTTAGTCATTCAGTATCTATGTAACGTGGTGAGCTTGGAACTTTTTGTTGCCAATCTGCACAATCTCGTTTTAGATTACCAATTTGTAGGTCCTCATATTATACAGTTTCGGTAGACCTAAGGTTGATTGTATAGAGATTGTATGGCGAGATTGTCACACGGATGGTTACCCTTAAGGAGGCACCCTGTAAAATGTTAAATAATTACCTATCCCGTGGACTGTGTCAAATCTTTTTCTTGTTGAGCTACAGCTGTCACTGCTATCTGCCACTTAAGCCCGTATACACATTTAGAATATCAGATGAATGATCTTCTATTTTTTTTTTCTGCATACAAGTCTCATATCAAATGTGAAGAGGTTATTAAAGTTACGAAAATTCTTTAACGAAGGAATAAAAATTCTGAAGAATGTATTGTATTTGTATTGTATTTTCGAATGACTACTGTGCTGGTTAAACAAAAATCATAAGATCCGGTATCATATGTAAAAAAAAAAAAAAAAAGTAGAAGGGACCAGCTCGAAAAAATTTTTTTTTTTTTTTTTTTTGAAAATTGCTATGTAGGAAGGACCACATTATTGTATGATTGCTTTAAAAGCGAAAATTGGTAAAATATTCTGATTGCTGTATGCGGGGCTTTAGGTTGTGTCAGCATGCTCCCTGCTGAACGCTCTGGTTCCCCCTGCTGGTCACTAGTTTACTGCTGGATCCTGCTCCTTATTATTGTTAGGGCTGTTTCAATTGAGTGTCTGGGGGGGGGGGGGGTGTTGGGTTGGTGGTAAAAACAGTCAGCTGAAGGGTTTTTAACCCCTGTCCCTGCTCGCCCATGAAATTCCAACTATATAGCCCGACAGGGCTGTAGATATGCTATAGTATTTTTACTGCGGGCTGTAGAGTTTGACAAGTGGCATCCCTTGCTTCGCAGTGTGGCCTGGTCCCGAAGTGTAAAATTGCCATTCACCAATTTAAAAAAAGATTAAAAAAAAAAAAAAAAAAAAAAAACAGGAATTGAAAGGTGGTATTAGCATCTCCCAGTGCTAGCCCGCCCTGCTGGCTCCAAAACGAATCCATCACAAATTGCTTTTCAGAGGGCAGTATGTACTGTACTTGTGTTAGGCTTTTGTTTTTCCTTCTAGCATTAGTGTAAAAAAAAAATGTGTATAATTTTTTTTTAAACATTCATAACTGTACTAGGACAGAATGTGGTCTTTTCCAGACTCACTATATTAATTTGAAATATGCATAATATAGAGTTAATAACTTTTTTTGTGGTGCTATGTGTCCAGAAGGTGGTGCTGTGGAGCAAGAAACATCTTGTATTCAGAGGGGTGCCTTCTTGATTCACTCTTTGCTGTGACAAATGTATGGATGTCAGATTATGAAAGCCTGGAGGGAACAGATCCTTATTTCAGCACTGTTTTTCCTGTCCTGGACACGTGGGTTCTGTGCATAAAAAGGATTAGCGTTTTTGAAAAATGGAGTCTGTTTTGTGACCTGGAGGCTTGCATTTGCTCGTACTTGTCAGGGTGAATGGCTTCTATTAGAGTTTTTAGACCTTCTAGAAAGTTCATAATTCATTGGCGGTTAAAGGAGAGCTGCTTGCTGATCCCCAATAAGTATTTACATAAATGTGCAATGTGAGTAGTTGCTATATATTATAAAAAAAAACCCTCCAGACTTGCATGAGCATCTGGTAAGAATATATATGTGTGTGTGTGTGTGTGTGTGTGTGTGTGTGTGTGTGTATATATACTGAAAACCGCCTATATCACGGTGCTAAAGAACTAGTGAAAGGTGAAATGCAAATAAACACTAACAAACAAAGCTGCCATTTTAAATAACAAATCATCAGTATGCAGTGACTAGAAATAATACATATAAACTGTGCTATGTCATAACATGAAAAACTCTAACATAAGTCCATATCCAATCAAAGAATAAGAGGAAATAAAAAAAGCTTCCACCAAAAAATGTGAAAAAGTTAAATTCGTTTCAGTGATGTAATATCTTTTTAAGATGGGATGATCCACCATCAATGTGATCCTGCAGTGATTAACACCCCATTGAATTCAACACTCACCAGAAGCTGGTGAATAACCAGCAGTGGAAAATCAGTAGAACATCAATCTCCTTAATAGTGAATGGTTGTGAAACCTCAAATTTGAATAATCAGCCAGCAGCCCAAAAGAACCTCCAATCAGTAGATTTATTAATCTCTCATGCTCCGATCTCCTCCTCACCCAGAGTGTATATATACTATATTGCCAAAAGTATTGGGCCAGCCCTCCAAATCATTGGATTCAGGTGTTCCTATCACCTCCATGGCCACAGGTGTATAAAATTAGGCACCTAGGCATGCAGACTGCTTCTACAAACATTTGTGAAAGAATGGGTCACTCTCAGGAGCTCAGTGAATTCAAGCGTGGTACTGTGATAGGTTGCCACCTGTGCAATAAGCCCATCCATGAAATTTCCTTGCTACTAAATATTCCACGGTCAACTGTTAGTGGTATTATAATAAAGTGGAAGCAACTGGGAGCAACAGCAACTTAGCCACCAAGTGGTAGGCCACGTAAAATGACAGAGCAGGATCAGTGCATGCTGAAGTGCGCAGAAGTCACCAACTGTCTGCAGAGTCAATAGCTAAAGACCTCCAAACTTCATGTGGCCTTCAGATTAGCACAACAGTGTGTAGAGATCTTCATGGAATGGGTTTCCATGGCCGAGCAGCTGCATCCAAGCCTTACATCACCAAGTGCAATGCAAGGCGTGAGATGCCGTGGTGTAAAAAACACGCCACCACTGGACTCTAGAGCAATGGAGACGTGTTCTCTGGAGTGACCAATCACGCTTCTCTGTCTGGCAATCCGATGGACATGTCTGGGTTTGGCGGTTGCCAGGAGAACGGTACTTGCCTGATTGCATTGTGACAAGTGTAAAGCTTGGTGGAGGGGGGGATTATGGTGTGGAGTTGTTTTTCAGGGGTTGGGCTTGGTCCCTTAGTTCCAGTGAAGGGAATGCTTAAGGCCCCAGCATACCAAGACATTTTGGACAATTTCATGCTCCCAACTTTGTGGGAACAGTTTGGGGATGGCCCCTTCCTGTTCCAACATGACTGCAAACCAGTGCACAAAGCAAGGTCCTTAACCACCTTCTGCCCTACAGTCCAATGACGGGCGCGAAAGGTGGTTCTCTCGTTCTGATAGGACGTCATATGACGTCCTACCATTCTCACTGCGCATGCGCGGCTCAGGGAGCGTGCAGCACGGCAATCGCCGGTCCGCTGTGTGTCCCTCACAGCAGATCACGGAAAGAGCCGAAGATGTCTGCTCGGTCATGTGATCAGCTGTGTCCAATCACAGCTGATCACATGTAAACACGGAAATGCTGGTTATCGGCATTTCTCTCCTCTCGAGCTGTCACACTGACTGCTCGAGAGGAGAGCCGGTAATCGGCTTTCCGCAGAGGGGACATGTACACTGATCATCAGGGCACTGATGATCAGTGTGCCCTGATGATCAGTGTGGCCCCAGAAGTGCCACCTGTCAGTGCCATACCAGTGCCCATCTGAGCTGCCTTTCAATGTCACCCATCAGTGCCCATCTGAGCTGCCTTTCAATGTCACCCATCAGTGCCCATCTGAGCTGCCTTTCGTCACCCATCAGTGCCCATCTGAGCTGCCTTTCAATGTCACCCATCAGTGCCAGTCAGTGCCACCTATCAGTGCCAGTCAGTGCTGCCTATCAGTGCCGCCTAGCAATGCCATATATCAGTGTCATGTATCAGTGATGCCTTTCAGTGCCCATCAGTGCAGCCTCATTAGCGCACATCAGTGAAGGAGAAAAATCACTTATTTACAAAATTGTATAACAAAAGCTAAGAAAAAACTTTTTTTTTTTTTTTTTTTTTTCAAAATTTTCAGTAGTTCTTGGTTTAAGAAAAAATAAAAATCCCAAAGGTGATTAAATACCACCAAAAGAAAGCTCTATCTGTCTCAAAAAAAATTATAAAAATTTCATATGAGTACAGTGTTGCATGTCCGCGCAATTGTCATTCAAATTGTGACAGCGCTGAAAGCTGGAAATTGGCCTGGACAGGAAGGGGGTATAAGTGCCCTGTAGGCTAGTGGTTAATGATATATGGATGAGCGAGTTTGGGGTGGAGGAACTTGACATGTCCGACATCAGAGCCTGACCTCACAAATGCCCTTCTGGAAGAATGGTCAAACATTCCCATAGACACCCTCCTAAACCTTGTGGACAGCCTTCCCAGAAGAGTTAAAGCTGTTATAGCTGCAAAGGGTGGCCAACTCAACATTGAACCCTATGGACTAAGACTGGGGTACCATTAAAGTTCATGTGTGTAGAGACAGGTGTTCCAATACTTTTGGCAATATAGTGTATATATAAAATGATATAAATATGATCTAAAATGTGAACTACCTGAAGCTCACAACACACGTTACAATACGACTGTACAATTTAATTTAGATCCACCCAGAAGTGTGCAGTACAAGGACCTGCCTGACTGGATGCAAATGGATTGGCTAGTTTAGATAGGTCCTCATATTGTTATAGTTTTGATAAATCTGACATTGTGCAAAGACATATCTCACATCTCTGCAGCCGTGGGTCGTTGTTTTTTTTTTCCTTTTTTTATTTATTTATTTATTTATTTTTGCATATTCCTGTAATATCACTTAACAGCAATGAATCCTTTTGGAAGCCGACAGACTGCTTTTCAGTGCTGCCTGAGGCGTGGAACTACGAGTCCCAGCTGGCTGCCTAGCCCTATGCAAGGCCAACGCCTGGGCACTTATCAAAGCATAATCTTTTGAGCCTGGGCAAGGGATAGGCCTATCCAGACCATCCCTTTGCTCAGCCGCCAGAGATTGTACCTCTGCCCCCTTCACAGCACTGTGGGTGGCTGGCCAGATGATGTCGTCTGCTTCTGCTCAGGACTCTGCGTCCTGAGATGTCCGTAAACCGCTTCAACGGTGGAAGGTTCTGTTTTTTTTTTTTTGCTTTTGAGTGTTTTGTGTGTCCAAGGTGTTATCCATGTGTTGGTGTAATCCACATCCATGATGAGTTCATAATATTACTATCAAATGCCCTCCTTTGATGTCTCTGTGTATTCCCACTGTCATCAGCCAGTCTGCAGCAGCTGAACTGGAAACCTGTTTGATCAATCAAGTTGTACTGGGTTGGGATTCTGGAGAAGTACAGGAGTCTTCCTATACCAGAATGCATGCCTAAGGGCTCGTTCACACTAGGCTGTTTTGCCAACGCTTGCCAAACCCCCTATAGCGTTTGGCAAGCGTTGGTCCGGTGTTTGCGGAGCGTTTTTAGCGCTCAGCAAACGCTCCGCAAATGCCGCATGCGCGGTTTAGCGGCGGTTGCTAGGCGTTTGCCGAGCGTTAATAACGCCCCACAAACGCCTATAATGCATTTGAGTGGTGTTACCACTCCGCAACCGCGTCGCAAACCGCACCGCACCGCAAACGGCCGGGCGTTTGCGGAGCGGCACCATAGACGAGAATAGGAGGCTTCAAAGCCTCCTGACTCGACCAGAGGCGTCCGTTTTGCCGCGACGCGACGCAAACGCTCCTGTTAGAACAGCACCATGTGCTGTAATGTGCAGAGTTGGCAGAGGCGTTTGGGAAGCGGTAAAAACGCTTCCCAAACGCCTCTCTGCCGCCTGCACACAGTGTGAACGTGAAGCACTGCAGCCAGAGCATGTGAACAGTCCCATTCACTGCCTTTGCAGTTTAGGAGAGAGACATTAGAAGGCAGTAAAAATGCAGCTTATGTCTCTCTCCTAAACTGCAAAGGCAGTGAATGGGACTATTCACATGCTCTGGCTGCAGTGCTTTGCTTTGTGCCAAAAACAATATTCCTTCTTTTTGCATACAGGGGCCAGTAGCCCCATCAAACACAACCAATGTAAGCAAATGAGGTCACGCTGCAACCACCTGCAGCTGCAATTGTGGCACAATGGTGCGGCATTTACAGGGTAAAACAGGCAGTGAGAAATCGACCTATTATACAGTCTTAATTACACCATTAAGCTGCATTTTTACCACCCCCTCTTAAACTGCAAAGAGAGCTGAGGACGATGTTCACACACTGCAGCAACAATGCCTGGTACCAAAACTATCCCCTGTGGTGTTTGGCCAGTAATCCCAACACATACAAGCCAATAGGGCAATTCTGGAATTGCTCTCCACCAACCGTGTGCAATGCATGTGGTTGTGATGTAGAGTTATAGCATTTATAGGGTTAAAAAGGTAGTGAGGAGGTGATATGTTTTTGTCTTTTAAAGCACAGAGGTGTGGAAATATTTAAAAATACTACTTGTCCAAGGGACTAAATTGGTGCCCCAATCTACTTGTGGTTAAAAAAAAAAAAAAAAAAGTTAATCTGGACAACTGTATTTAAATCGGAGGTAATATTAGAAATTTGTTTTAAAAACCGAAGGGGCTCTATGGCGACGTAAATGTGTAATATTTTTAACATTACACTGTATATCTCCTCTTCCCCTCCTTGCCTCTCTCCAGCACCGAGCCCAGGGACTAGCAGGGAGGAGAGAGACCTTGCAGTGTAATGAGCACCGATTGGCTGCTCGTCAGGAAAGGAGTGTCCGGCTTCTCCTTTATCCCTTTCGCTGCCAGAACCGTTTTTGCATTTTTTGCACAAGATTAAAAAAATTCATTTTAGGCCTGAAGATTACACAAATCCCCCAAACATTATATATTTTCTGAAATCTGAGACCCTAGAGAATAAGATAGTGGTAGTTCCAATTTTTATGTCGCATGATATTACCGCAAAATTTCAGTAAAAAATACAAGTTAGGGCACAAAATAAGCAATAGATTAGCCTATTTTTTGTAAAATATGAAAGGTTGCAGTGAGTAAATAAATCTCCAACTTGTCAAACCTTGCGTGCACTCATGAAATGGCGACGAACTTCAGTTCCCTATATTTTCTATAGGTGATGCTTTTAAAGAACCTTTTATAGGTCACCAGTAAAGTGATATGGAGAAGGTCTGGTGCTAGAATTATTGCTCTCATTCCGGCGTGTGCGGCGATATGGAACATGTGTATCGCAATCGACGTCTTCATGTGTAGGCGCCCCAGCGTGTGCTTTTACGTTTGTATATGTGTATGTGTGTGGGGGCTCAATTTTTTTTGGGGAGGTATGTTGTGTTTGGGTGTAACTTAAAATTTTTTTACAATTTAAAAAAAGAATATTTTTTTGTTTTAGTTAACAGGTTCTCTTTTTATTGAGACATCCATGGTCTGAAAGACCCTGCATGTCTCCCCTTTACTCCCCTGATTGTAATGCAGTGCACATCGCACTGCATTACATTATTTCCCGGCCTTAATTGCCAGGAATCTCTCAACGGGGACCCGGAAGTGACATCATAACATCACTTGTAGGTGAGGACAAGAAGGGGAGGGTGTGGACATGTCCGTTATCCTCTCTCCCCTCTAGCCACCAGGGGTGAGTTGGTCCCAGGCCCGCAGATGGAGAAGCAGAGCCCAGGAGACAGCGGGTGGAGAGGCTGGCACTCTGCGGAAGCAATCTGTGCAGCACTGCTGCCTGAATGCTTCCACCTGACAGGGGAGCCCTGCTGCTTGCCCTCAGCAGGGCTGAAGATAAAGAAAAAAACTACCTGCCCAACGCCAACTACATGTCCTGGGCGTTGGGTGACAGGAATTCAACAGCCCTGCAAGCACCTCTGAAAAGTGATGCAAACCTGGTTAGCTTTTCAGAGGTGTGGCAATCTTCAGCATAACTGTATTAAAGGCAGTAAAGTGAGGTCAGTGACCTGGCTATGCATTCGTGTTTCTGGATCCATTTTTGGCAGAGGTGTGGGCTGCATAGGATGGCCTTACCCACTGCAGTCCTAAAGCAAGCAATTTGCCTTGAGTCCTATGTATTCACCTCAAACCACCACACATCTGTGGTATGCACTGAATAAAGCAGCTCACAGGCCACTTTTTCAGCACAGTGTTTTGTGGCACACTATTTTGCATCACAATCTATTGCTGTGAATAAAGCTGAATCACCTGTAAAAATAGGTATAAGTGAGCGCTAAAGATAACAAAGCTGCTGAACACAAAAGGTACCAAAAAAACCTCCAGAAACTCACATATATAAAGGTGCAGCGCTTATCTATTAAAACATGCAAGATATCAAAAATGCAAGAGTGTATCCCTGCAAAACGCAGGCAGGGTATAGTTTATTATACTGCCCCTTATAGTCTCAAATAACACACAGATGTATAGTTCACAATCTCCCAGTGGGTAGGGTGAGGTGAAAGATCAGATGGATCTCTATTGACACACGGTGATATCCAAAACTGGTAAAAGATTGTGCACTCACCATATGCGCATGTAAGAGAGAACCCCTCTCAAGGTATGGTTCCAAGACTCATCAAAGGCAAGGTCTGGTCAAACTTTACGATGTGGACCCTGAGCTGTCATGCATGGCTGTCCCCTATAGCTCTTTACTCTGCAGGTAATTGGAAGCTCACCAGAGAGCCCCAGAAAGAAACAAGGAGGCCAGAATAGCGTGATACCGCTTAAGCATGCGTGCATTTATTTTATCCAGCAACAGGGTATAATAAAAACAATACTGACCAGACAATAAAGTTGGCCGCCGGGACCCCAATGGTGCCGGCGGTGGTAAACGTCACTGTGCCGCAGTTCCTCACTGACGCGTTTCGTGCAACCGCACTTACTCATAGGGGGTATGCTCTGGGCGCAGGATGTTTAATAATGCATATATATGGACAAA